GGGATTACAATCATGGAAAAGAGATCCCGTCACAGACAGCTGGAGGGTATGGAAGCTTTGGTTCTGGTTACAGCAGTGCATCCCAACAACTGCCTTATCCGAGTGGAGATGCAGGCTACTCAAAGCAGTCTGATTATTCAGAGAATCCACAGTCATCTTATGGTCAATCATACACAGGAGCTGGAAAAACGGGAAGTTTGGGAGGGTATGGCAGTGAAGCTAGTGCTGGGCATTCATCTTATAGTCAGGGATATGGTGACACTTATGGGAGTCAGCAAGCCAGGATGCAGTTATACGGTGGTGGTCAGTCTGTGTCACAGCCCGGATATGATGCTTATAGTCAACCAAGTCCAGCTTACGGAGGTCAAGGAAATTATGGAAGCCTAGGAGTCGGTGGCATGGAAGGCATGGGTGTCGGTCAAGGAGGGGGTGGTGTTGCTGGTGCTGCTGGTGGTGGTGGTTATCTTGGCATGCAAGGAGGAGCTGTAGACAATTTTAGTGGTCAAGGGAGAGGGTATATGGGCAATCAGGGGGTAGGTGGAATGGGAAGCTATAGAGGTGGTCAGTCAGGAGGAAATCTAAGCAGTGGGTATGGAAATTACCAGTAAAGTTGAGTTCATTTCAACATATTTTTTTTGTGAGGCTGAATGTCTATTTGTTATCTGTTAATGTCTGGCAAACATTCCACTCTTGCAGTGATTTGTATATGTTAGCTGGTCACTTACATACATCTTCCATGTATCTGGTTAGTTTATCAGGATGCCCACCCATTGAAATAACAAATAATGTATTTGCTTCATTTTTCATACTGGAACCTTGTATTTTGCTTATGACACAATGTTAAAAGAGCAGTTCCAATAAGACACCAAAGATAGTGTGTAAACATGTCATGAAAATTTGTGCATGTCTTCGCATTCTTTTCCTGGACACACCTTGTGTCAGTCCTGGATGTTTCTTCAGATAGGCATCCAAATTATTATTAACCAAATTTGCATAAAAATACAGTGTAGTTTGGTTCAGCCCACCACTTTCTGGTAGTTCTTGGTGATTTTACATAGTTCATATTTTTTTAAATTGTTTTTCGTCTTTTATCATATTCCTCAGACTCCTTTCATTTTTCATAAAGGGTTTTTAACAGAATTTCGATACAGACTTGACACACATCTGAATTTCAGTTGGTTGGAATACAATGGCATGATCTGCATTGTCAAAGTTCATTCATTGTTTTCTCCAAGTAACCCAATATATATCTTCTTCAGTCTAATATTTTAGTGTGAATGTTTAAAATCACTCGTTGTTTCATAATGAAAACTTTTTTGTGTTTATTGATAGAAATATCAAGTATTATCTGTACTGGTAGTAAGACAAGTAGTTGAAATACTATTTCTCTGCAATGACAGCTTCAATCTTTCCACAAATTTCCTGGAAGAATCATGTGTGCACTCAACAATTCCAGCTTTGATGGGCGGGCATTTTATTACTTTGTTCTGTATTAAATGTTTTTATTTGTTTGTCAGAATTGAATCAAAGATGTTTGACCTCACATACATGTGCTCAGTCATTTCAAAATCTCAGAATATACTGGTCTTGTTCAATTATGGAGACCCAAAAAGCCTGCCTATGGTATTGTTGATAATATTGCTGCTTGGCCCAACCAGCATCATTCTTCTATCAGAATGGCTGCTAGGACCAACCAGCCCAATTCTGATATAATAGCTACCAAGACCTTCCAACCTCATTTTGGTATATGATGGCTGCAAGGAACTTCCAGCCTCATTTTGATATCATAATGGCAGCTCAAGCCTCATTCTGATATAAATAAATGCGTTGACCTCCCAGCCTCATTCAAATAACACAATCGTCGACACTAACCTTGTACAATGTATTGTCTTCTGTATTGTGAAATGACATTGGTGAATTTTCCATCAAAGTTATATATGGAAAGCTTGATAATTCAAATTGAGCTTTAAATGCATATTTTGGACATCTTTAATTATTAGGTCATATGAGGTCAATCATGTCACACCAGGATAGTGTTGCATCCTACAGTACACACAAATGTATAGTAGTTTTTTTTTTTCCCCGTTTTATATTTTTATACTTTTTAATTTTTTTTAAGAGTAAGGTATTTCTGAATATACCGGTATGTACCTTCCATTGAAGGTATTCAGTATAAATGGTCATAGTTTTTTTTGTAAGTTGTCGTGGAATGTTGACGGCAGTGGTCGTGCCATGATACACTGCTTTTAATAAGCCTGTGCATACATGAATGTGGTCATTTTGAAATTTTTATTTAGCCGTTGATATTATAAAATGTAAGCATTTGATAATTTTCACGCGGTCATGGAGAGTTGAGGCATTGCAACGTGTCTGAATTCAATCATGGTCTATGACAGCGTGCAAAAAAAATTAAATTGCGTTTTGAAATAAACAAAAGGTTGTTTTTTGTAATCAAATGTATGACCAAATAAATGTTCCTTTTATTCTTAATGACTAGTTTTCAATTAACTATTCTATACGTGACGTGTTTATGTAGTCAATGTCCAATTGTTTCCAGTAGAAATGTCACTAAATACTGACATATCAGCTGTTTGTAAATTTAAGCCTGACTTATATTGACAGTCTCATACTATCCGTAGATAATAAATTTCATTGAAAATGCATGTCTCAATGTTTTTTTTTACTCGTGCTATGCATTTACGTCAAATTCGTAATGTATATGAGGCATTGAATTGTATGAGCGAATGGCACCCAGACCACTTTTTATAAATTTATGCCACAAAATATTGCCATGCGTGTTCATTTGGTACCAGAAGGCTTATTTAGGTTGGTGTTGCCTGGATTGAAAAAAAAAATGTATTCAATTCTCTAATATGTTCTACGTGTCCTGAAATTGCATATTGTAGGGTCAGTAACAAAATCTGGTACACACAGTCAGCTGGCGTACAAGTGACAAGCAATACTAATTTATGGATTGTTAATGCATGGGCATCCGTTTTGAATCTGATCTGAACCTAAAGAAAGACTTTGTGACATCGAAATGACCATCCTAATGTTTTCTGTGCAGAATATGCAATAACTCAGTTGACAGAGGCTCTACCTGCTGTTGGTGCATGTTCAAACCCCATCCTTAGCAATTTTTTTTGTTAGTTTTAGAAAGAATTTAACAATGACCCTTGACTGAAGCTGTACTGTTTTAGCCATGGTGCAATTATAACTCCACACAGTTTCATCTGGTATATGTCATCTCTACAATAGGCTACATATAAGCATGTAATAAGTCTGTCTGATGGTCCACCAGGGGTTTTTTCTAGAAAAAAACTGCAAGAGAGAGCACTGCAATTCAGTGGCCCACCAAGTGGGCAAAATAGGGTTCTCCCTACCAAGGTGTGGAGTTTTTGATAATTCTATGTTAAAAAGAAGCATTCTATGGTTTCCTTGGGCCAAAATTACTATCAGACAGGTCACAGTTGAAGACTGGCCACATGTGATCCCTGGTCAATCAGAATTTTATAGTTGCCAGAGGATCTGCTCCCCAGGGTAAGGGAGTGCATGATCATGGCATGAGGGCGCTGTTTCCAGGTCCACCACATAAGTCGATTAGTAAATATAATCATACTTTACCGCCAAATTGAATACACAGATTGACATCAATAGAATAGACATGACAGATTTTTGACAGGTTGGAGATTTTGTATCAACCCAAGCTGCAGTCAATGATGCTTCTCTGTTGGTAATTAAGAGTTTCTGCTTTTTGTCAACCCAAGAGAAACCATCATGGGATTATACATTTATAACATGCATATTTTCACAGTTTGATAAAGTGAAATGGTGAATTGTTGGTAGTGGTACTATTGCTGAAATAATACAAAGTGTATGCTAATTTTGTTGATGCCACACCTTGTGTACGATGTGTGGTGATTCAGTTAGTCATAGTTGCTCCAATTCACAAGAACTTTTTTTTTTAATTTTAGCAGATTTTCAGAGAGACTGAATAATAGTTTTGCATGTTCGAACAGTATGATGGGGGGGGGGGTCATGTGACAGTACGAGCATTCTATCAAAGTTATATAATTTCAGACGATAACAAAGACACAGACTGAAAGTTTAGTTTGAAAAGATATCACTTTGAAGGAGAATATTTCTGTCAATTAAGACTATTTACAATCATATACGTCATAGGCAGTATTATATTTTGTTGGACTATAAGAAATACAAAGAAACATCTAAAAAAATTATTTTTATTAAAGCATGTTTGCTAAGGTGTATGATTAAAGATCCAAACATCATTCACAACTTAACTGTAGGAACACAAAGTAATTATATACTGTAAAATGACTAATTTTCACTGGGTTTAAATTTCGCTGATTTAGCACTTCAGGCATATTCAGTGGGTTTTAAATTCACGGTTTTATCATTTAGATAATGTGTTCTGAGCTCAATTTTACATATTCACTGGGTTTTAATTTAGCTCATTTTTCAGTCAGCGAAATAAGCAAAATTAAAACCCAGTGAATAATTAATCCTTTTACAGTAGTACATCAATGTAAAGCTTCCAACTATCGACTGCTTTCAATGGAAAGTGAATCTTTGGGTGAATTTTCAAAACAGTATTCTAAAACATCGCCCTCTACAGTTCAAATAGTAAATATCATCATCTAGATAGGTTTTGAACTGTCAGTTGTTTCACCTGTTGCTTGGCTCTATAACATGGCACTTTAAAGCGGGAGGGTTGTCACCTGCGCAAGCCCGGGAATCGAGTCCCAAGCGACAATAACAACGCGCACTAAAACACAAAGGCTCTTGGGTGAACGCTTGTTTGTAGACAATGGCGGCAGGTGACGACTCCCCTGCTTTAATATGCCCTACAGGGTCATTCCAGCAAAATCAATAACAATACTGTCATCGCTATATTGTTCCGAACACCAAAACAGCAACATTGCCATAGTTGCTGACTGGTTTTCTATGCGAGTCTCAAGATCTTTCCATGGTTAGAACTGGTTAGTTCAAACCACTTTTACGAGAGTGTGCTGTTCGGCTAATTGTACTCATTCACGACATGCACAAGACAACAAGAAACTGTCCTGACATATCATACCGTGTCAGTACACACATTTTGGAAATGTACACAATTGAAATAAAAGCAATCGCATCATGATATTCTATTTATATTCAAACTATTAGTTTGACATCTGAAGTTGGTTTGACACAACTTGTTCTAATCGCACATAGCAAACCAGTTAGCAACTTAGCTGGCAGTGTTGCTGTTTTGGTGATCAGAACAATAAGGCAGTTGACAGTAATTGTTGTAGCTGATGAACTTGCAGCTATTGTAAGCTAAGGAACTAGACTGTCAACAGTTCTTGGGCCTAATAAAGAGTCACTTATTTTCAAACGCCGTAGGCGTTTTAACGAAATGCCAAAGACATTTCAAGCGAGGGCTGTAATGCCCGAGAGACTGTTAGCATTATCATGCAGCATTATGTGAAAATTGTCCCGTGACGTTCCTGTTGAGACTGTAAATGCCTTCAGAATTTCGTTAAAACGTCTACAGCATTGGAAAATAAGCGACTCTTTATTAGGCTCGAGAACTGTCGACAGTCTACTACTAAGGAACAGGAAACAGCATTTGCACACGGGGAACTCGTAAATTATCAGTAAATATGGTTATACAAATATGAAAATAACTGAATAAAATTTAAACTATATCAACAATGTTTGAGTAAATAGAACATGTAAAAATAGAAAAGTTTTGCCATGGGCCATCACCACGAATGAAAGACTACATGATTTGCAAGATAAGTTGAATGAGAGTTACCGTAGTCATATCACTATATCTTTCAATGCTCTTGCAGTATCCTTTTGTTTCTGTAGATCCAGAAGCTAAAAATAACTAAAACAAAATGTGAAACTTTCTTCAGCCTCATTGAGACATACCAGTGAAAATTAAAAATTAATAAATAAATAAAAATCAACAGAAATTTGAATCATAGGTTTGGGATGCTCAAGCATATTTCCAAATGGTAAGATGAAGATCTGCAGTGGTAAAATATTGGTTTACCTTTGTTGTTACCAAGAACATTTTTGCCACATGTCCATGAACAACCAATCAAATAATGCATTACAGATCAGCATACATATATGAGTATTTTGATCACTGATTGGCTGACCCCCATAAAGTGGGGATCCCTGGAGTTTTTCTCTCATACCAAAAATAATTTGTACACACTTCTCTGTTCTCTCCACAATCTAATATCAAAAGATGTGATGAAGCTTGAGAAAGACAATTCAGCAGCCAGAATCCTTAAACGTCTTACTACTACTTTAAAATTATAATACTAAAATTAATATCAACAGTAAACAACTGGAGGACTGGAAAGGCTCCCACCATTACGGCAATAAGAAACCATAAAAAACTACAAAAACTTAAAAATAAGAATGATGCGGAAATGTTAAAAAAATCTACGTAATATATATATATAATTACCAGTATATAAAAATACTTTTTGATAATGTGCATTGCACGCTTTGAATCAATCATAGTTACCATAGTTACACCATAGCTATAAAATTAAGCAAATATGTACATAGATTTACTAGATATGGCAAGGAATATATAAAATAGTAACTGTAAAATAGTAACTTAGCAACCAAATGTAAGACAACAACTAAGTCTCATAACAATGTTCTACTGTTGTGCAAAATAAGATGTTGCTCTACGAGTAGATAGTTTGCTCTTGTTATACTGGTAAATGCAACTCAGTGTGCAGCCAACGGTGATGTTTTTGGAGTGCGTACATTTTTAAATTTTCTTCTGAGTGCTTTGGTCATCAATGGGGTGAGTCCTTCCCCGTTTTCACTATCACCTTTTTCTCTAATCGGCGTACCACCAGGACTTCTCGGGATGTCTACTTTCTTTAATTTTATTGAAAATGTTTGCACTTCTGCAGGAATCCTACAAGTGAAAAAAAAAACAAAAAAAAAAACATTTTCCTTTAGTCATAATACATGTTCTGAATTTAAAAAACAATTGAGTATAGTGCAGGGTGATAATATGGTGGTTAGCATCGCATAAGATTCTGTGTTTGATTTCTAGAGTAAACTGTTTACTCAGCAGTATACACAACATTGTAATAAGATTTGGACATCTGGTTTGCAGGCACACAGCGGCTTTAAAAGATAATCAGTTGCATAATGCCATTTTTTTCACAAGGTTAATGTTTGGATGGTCAAGCCATGCATATGTGTAAACACCAGCTAAACAGCTGTAAACTGAATATTTGTTTTGTTTCACTATTTGCATGCTATTATCAAAAATACCTACAATCTACTTTAAGACATACATGCAGTACACGCTTACTTTGATTTTACGTAGTATTTACCTTGCCGTTTATTCAGTGTTATTTGCTTACTTTACTTTCTATGTCAACAGCGACTATGAGTTTACTTTAAAACACGCACTACATTTACTTACTGCACATAAAGTTACAAAATGAGAAACATTTGGGGTTGGGGGGGGGGGGGCAAAACCATCCATTCAAATATTTCTTTTTACAAACTTGTATATTTTAATCCAAACAATTCTTTTTCAAAAATTTTAATTTTTTGTGATACCGGTACTCACTTTTTCCATGCTGCTTTTATTTCACTGTCAATACAGTTATCCTGCTTATCCATACTGGTCATGGTATTCCCAGATTTGGACTGATATTTGTTCAGCGTCACTTTCTTGAGATCATTATCTATATTGGTCATGGTATTCCTGGATTCGGATTGGTATTTTTTCAGTGTCACCCTTTTGAGATCATCGAGTGATACAACAGGAGTGCAAGATATCAAGGAAGACTCCTAAAACACCAGAATAAAATGTTGGTTAAAAATTAGGTATATCAAACAGTACCTGCCGACTACTAGCTTGCTTCAGACATTTCACTTTATACTGTAAAATACTTTATTTTAGCTGGAATTAATTTTCGCTGAAATAACTTTTTGGGTATTTTGTATGGAATTAATTTTCACTGACTTTTTACAAGTTGAATGTAAAATATAAGAAAAATAGTATATTCGCTGGGTTTTAGTTTCACTGAATCATTCCTTCAGCGGAAAATAGCGAAAATTAATTCCAAGCACAAATAAAGTATTCTACAGTATGTGATTGTATGCTTATCACCGCATATTTGATTCACCTGACAGCTCTTTCCATATTTGACTCACCCAACTTCCCACTTCATATCTGACCCACCCAACTTCCCACTTCATATTTGACCCACCCAACTTCCCACTTCATATCTGACCCACCCAACTTCCCACTTCATATTTGACCTACCCAACTTCCCACTTCATATCTGA